AATAATTATTAATAATAAAATAATAATAATAATAATAATAATAATTTTATATTCTTATTTTAATTAATTTTCGGCCTTTCTTCTTTTATTAAACAACATATTTTCATCATCACTATTACTACTACTTGTTTCTAATAATTTATCTATAATAAATAATATTCTTTCTTTATCCATTTTGTAATTTTTTGCTGCCTAACTAGTTTTATTTGTCCGATCACCAAACTGCACTGACAAAAATGTCAGTGCAATATTTTTTGCACTCGTTCGGTTCTTTCGGTTGGTCCGAATACAAATTCAGCACTACACTAGGTCAGTTTTCATTTGCCGAATACGATAATCTAAGCGCACTGATACGGTGCGCACATTCCGAATGCGTGGCACCAAAAAAGTTCGCACTAGTGCGCACTAGTGCAGTCTGTCGAATTCGCCATAAATTTCCTCGTTTCCGCGCGTTTTGTTCCACCTGTTTTGATCTCCTAATATTACATGGAGCACAATTTTCGCGGAAAAGCGGAACGGAGAATTAGAAATTATAAATTTTTAACGATATTTATTGATTAAAATACTTGTATTCAATGCAGAAGCTGAAAAGATAAGCGTATTAATAAAAATTGCAATGCATTAAGTGAATACAATTTTTTTAAATTAATGTAAAAGTGTATTTGTCACTATATCATTCCGCTTTTCCGCGGAAATTATGTCCCATGTAATATTAGGAGATCAAAACAGGCGGAACAAAACCCACGGAAACTCCACGTAAATTTGAAGAACCAAACCAGCGAAAAAAAATGGATCGGCTGAATGAAATGTTAATGGCTATGATCACATTAGTGATACAAGCACAAAATCAAGCAATAAGATATGCAGAGGCAACGATGCAAAAAGTGACACAATTGTTTTATATCTACAATTGCTTGAAACAATTAAATAAAAGACCAAAACGTAAAATGTGGGTAAGATCCATTTTTTCTGAACAACGAAGATTGTTACAAGGTGCTAGTAATAATCTAATCGTCGAGATGCAATTATCTGACAAAGAAAAATATTTCAACTATTTACGGATGTCACCAACAATGTTTAATGAATTATTGACAATTGTTGGACCTCGAATTGAAAAACAGAAAGTGGTTCGTAATCCAATAAGTGCCAAAACTAGATTGCATGTGACCGTACGATGGTTGGCTTCGAGTGATAGTATGACTTCACTGTCCTACGCCTATCGCATTGCCCAATGTACACTTTCGCATATCATCCCGGAAACTTGTGAACAAATTTGGCTTGCTCTAAAAGATAGGGTTCTTATTAATGCTACGGAAAACAATTGGAGAAAAGTTGCTGAAGACTTTGAAAGAATATGCCAACACGTAGTTATTCAAGTAGATATATATTAAATTGAAACAATCAATTCCGTCCGTCCGTCCGTCCGTCCGTGTGCGTGCGTGCGTGCGTGCGTGCGTGCGAAATTTGTTGTTTATGCGGGTTTGCTAAAAAAAAATAATAATTAAATTTATCTATATTTCTAGAATATGAGTATTCTGTTATAATAATGTGTTCTAAAATTGTAGGCACCACCTCGTAGTGGCTCATCTTATTATAATTACAAAGGGAGCCACAGCATAAACTTGCTCGCGATATGTGATGCTTTGAAACGATTTCTCGTCGATATTGGAGCTCAGGGCCGACAAAGTGATGGAGGTGTCTTCGATAATAGTGCATTATCTCATTTATTTGAAACGCATTCACTCCATATCCCTCCATCCTCACGCATGAAGACCAGTGAATTTAAATTTCCATACGTTTAACTAGGAGATGAAGCTTTCCCTATCAGCACGTATATGATGAGACCGTATCCTCGAAGTGGCAAATTGAACACTAGAAAAAAAATTTTTAATTATCGTCTCAGTCGTGGAAGAAGGACTATCGAATGTGCCTTCGGGATTTTAGTTGCGCGATGGCGACTTTTCCGGCGACCTATTATTGCGTCTACATTCACTTGCATGAAAGCTATACAAGCAACTGTTGTTATGCACAATTTCATAATAGATCAAGAAGTTAACTTACCAGCACGAGAAAAGATGTACTCTATAATGCGCTATGAAGAACGTAATCTGTTGCATACTAGTACTGGCCTAATAGACATAAACAATAGCAATATATCGCAAAACTGAGAAGCATCGAAAATTCGAGATAATTTTGCTCATTACTTTGAACGTATTGATCCATTACCTTGGCAATTCAATAAAGTATTGAATAATGACTTTTAAGTAATGTCGAGATCTACACTTTAACATAAAAGAGTACACACTATGATCTACAC